GGGTAGGGGAGAGCGGCGCGGCCCAGAAATTGAGAGGAAGCTGGATGTGTACGAGGGCTGTGCTGCCAAGTGATCATGGCGCTGTGGCCGAAGCGTGCATCACACAATCAGCCGACCGACCGCCTGCCTCATGACCAACCCCTCGGCAGCGCGCGTGCGCCGCGCACCTGGCCGTAGGTGTACCCCGCGCCTCGCGGCGAGATGCCCCAGCCCATGCGGTCGTCGGGGTCGCTCCACAGCAGGTCGCACATGGGGCCCTGGAAGGGTTGTTTGGCGGGGTGAGGGAGCATGGCGGCCCAGCTGCATGAGGAAGCAAATGGCTGGTCAGAAGGAAACTGGTGTGAGGAGCCATGCATGCAGAGGAGCACGGAGCATGCACACCTGCAGACGCATGATGGTAAATGGGGGAGGGTCTGACCGGCCGGCTGGCGCGGGGCATAGGCCGCCGCGTTTGCCCTGGCTGCAGCTGCCGTTTTTGCGCAGCTGGGTCCGCACCTCGTGGGGCACCTCTTCGAATCTGCTGAGGCCGTTGATCTGGTCCACCGTGTCCATCTGGGGCGACAGGCCTGCGGGCGTGGCGCAAGGTGCGAGAGCGCCTAGCACGCAGAGCAGCCGAGGGTCGCTGCCGGCTCTGCTGCGCAGTCCTGGTGGAAGGCACAAACCCCCCGGCGTCGTGAAAGCGCGGAGCTTGCAGTGTTGTGATGCGCGGCGCGTCGAAGCGAGGTGCAAGTGTGTGTCGCCACGTGCTGAGCGGCGCGCCGTGCCTGCTGCTCACCGGCGTGGGGGCAGAAGAGCTGGTTCTCAATCACGGCCGCCAGGGGCAGACTGTCAAACAGGTCGGTCAGCACCTAGGGCCAGTGGTGCATGTATGAGTGGGGACGAAACGTACGGTAAGGTTGAGAGGTGTGTTGCGTGGTGCAGGGTAACCAAAAGCGGGCGTGCAACAGGCTCGTGACCACCGCCAGGCGTGCGCACTGCAGCCTCCTGCAGGGAGAGGCAGTCCTTTGGCCGTGCTGCAAGGAACGGCTTCAGGACCCCCACCTGCCATATCCGCGGGCTGCCGTATTTCCGCAGGCACTCCTCGTAAAAGCCGTACACCTGGCGGTCGCATGCCGCGGGTGCGGGCCGCATGTTGCGCCTGTGGGTTGACCCCACAACAAAGCTTCCAACCAGCCAGCCAACCAACCAGCCAGCCAGCCAGCCGTCCACCATGGCGGCATCAACCAGGCGGGGCTAAACCATCACAGGAACGAGTGTTGCCGGCTGCGCAGAACCATAGATGCATAACCCGCCTTGCATGCCCAGCCCCCTCACCTGTGTGATCTGCCGGCTCTCGTGGTTGCCGCGGATGATGACAACGCGCTGCGGCCACCGCACCTGCATGCGCCGCAACAAGGGGCTTAGGCAGTGGCAGTGGCACGGCCCACGGCCCAGCGGATGGTTGCCCAGCGCCCTCCAGGCCCGATCCCGCGTCATGGCCGTTCCACCCCCACACCTTCAGTGCTATGACCATGCAGACCGTCTCCACGCTGTAGTATCCGCGGTCCACATAGTCCCCCAGAAACAAATAATTGGTGTCAGGCGCCCGCCCTGGCAGTGTGTGTGTGTGTATGTGTGTGTGAGAGTGCAAATCGTGCATGTGCAGTGTATGTGTGTGTGTATTTATGGGTGCATGTGCGTGCATGAATATGTGTTCAAAGGGGATGGTAAGGAAGAAAGAGGGGGGGGGAGAAGCATGTGTGCATGGATATATGGGCGCTTTTGGAGGACAAAGCGAGCACGGGTTGGCTGTTGGCAGGGCAAGGGGTGAGCATGAGCCGCAAAGGCGACACAACACGATGAGACCTTCCCGAGGGATGCAAAACGGGCACCGTAACTCCACGTACGCCCGCACCGCCGCCACAATTGGCCCTACTTCAGCAAGGCAGTCTGCGCCTTCGCCTCCACAGGATCCGCCCCTGCGCCCACCCGCAATCTTGAATATCTCGAGTAAGTCGTGGAACTGGCCGTGGGTGTCGCCCACCACTACCACAGGCGCCTTCACGTGCGTCACATTGGGCTCCTGCTGCAGCAGCTCCTGCGCAGGACCATGCACGGGCAGCCGAACCAAACGTGCACACCGCGGGGGGGGGGGGGGGGGGG